AGGAGAAGGAGAAGGAGAAGGAGGAGATGGGGCTGACATAAAATCTAACAACCCTCACCTGACAGGTGGGGAATAGACATTGCCTCTGTTTTTCCCACGTGCTACAGTAGCCGCTAGTGTGGGGTTCTTACTTTTACTGCATCATCGAGCCATCGCCCACACCAAGCTCACCATCCCACACCCACAACTCACTCACACCAACTCACACTTGGGAAATGATGCGTGCTGTCGGGATGCAGCATGCCACGAAGAAACCTTGCTTAAGCAAGATGCCTAAGTAAATGGAGTGAGAATAGCAGCTTGATGATCATCACGCCTGCTGCCATTCATCCACAAAATGTTTCAAGGGTGCAACGGATTGGTGGTCTGTGCACATTGGTGTGACGTTTTCCGCGAACACAGTTGGAATCAGTTGGATTTTTGATTCCCAGGATGACTGGCACTGGTGAGCCTTAAAGCCTGACAATGCGTGAGCCTTTCGCAACAACACTCGCAGCCAATGCAGGTATACACGGGACTGGCCAGGTCCCACATCCCGCGATATCACCCAGCTTCGTTGGTGGTGGTATCGCGCCCCCCCTGCATTTAAATAGAGAAGCCAACGGGCTACCCTTGACTCCAGGGCGTACACACACTTGTTTTTTTTTCAGACTCACACCAACTCACCACCTAACGCACACCAACTCACCTCCCTGGCGTTTTGCTGCCCTGTAGAAGGTCTTGTTGAGGGGGTCGGGTTCGGTCGCGCCGCTCCTCCCTTGCGCTGGGCTGCTCTGTTGGCGATGCGGTTTGGCGTGGTCTCGGTGGCAAGTGCGTGGCTGCGTGGCTCCATGCCGTTGGGAAACGGGAACATGCGTCCATATACGCGGCATGTCGCTGGTGAGCAGGCCCCACTCATACCAACTTCGCCCCACCAACTTACACAAACCTACTCACACACGTCAACTCACCCAACTTACACACACCAACTTGCCCACACCATCCTCTTCCCTCGCTCTGAACCCGCCAACATTATTTTCATGTTTGCTTTGTGAAAACTAGTCATGAGTCAAGTGGGTTTGTCCGATTCAATTTGTGACGTATGGTGACCCATTGCCCCGTGAGTTGACGAAGCGAAATCGACCCGCGCAAAGCGGTTGTGCACGTAGAGTGTTAAAACAAAACACATCATGCGCACGTTACAGTGGATTCAATCAAAACATTGACCCAAGTATTATTCAGTAGTAATCTTACGGTTCCATGCAGGAAACGTCCTGCTGTTGAGGTGGAACGTCCGGCATGACACTGATCTCATCGGCTCTTCCATTCAGCTGCCGCGCGTTTATCTTCATGGCTATGGCATGCTATGGCTATGGCTAGCTCAGCAAGGAAACTCGTGCTGGTCATCTCTCCCCAAGCCCCGCCCTGGGGAGGAACACAAGAAACATGCACAGTCGCACATCAATCTCTCTCCCTCTCTCTATTTGTATAGAGTTATATAATCATATATGTGTGTGCACATAACATTAATTACATGTCACAAGGGGCACGTTGAGCAGCTTCTTCTTGCAGTCCAAGCTGTTCAGTTACAAAAACCATGTTTTGAAGCTTGGAAGGCACATACGGTTACATACGTTCAATTTAGCTTCTGATTTGATAGACTGTATGCCACGAAACCGTTGCACCTCATCCAGGGCTCTAGGGATCACACCAGAAAGCCATGAAGCAAATCATCCCATAAGAAGCTACTAGGAGCAAAGGGCATTGCTACTAGGAGCAAGGACGCTACTAGGGGCTCCTGGCCTTACTACTAGGAACAAGAAGCTACTAGGAGCAAAGGGCATCGCTACTAGGAGCAA